ATCAGGATGCAAGTCAACATATGACACTCACTTTTCATGCAGGTACCCCATTACCTCCAGATCACAACCAGGGAACTTAGATGAGTTCTTTTGTCACCTTAATGACTACTGCATTGTAAAATTGTTCAGAATCTTTAGATAATCTTTGGACTTTTGGAGTTAAGATATTTTATTACCTGGCCTTTTCTGTGCCTCCCATGCACTGATGAATATCAATGAATTCCATTAGTTGTTTTTGTAATATCACATCTTTGCCCTCAATTTGAGTAATGAATTTATGCTGCAAAAGATCTGACACTGTTGGACGATTTTCATAATCTTTAGTCAAGCACCTGCACTGGCAAAAAAGAACATACAATTATTATATAAATTAGAGTTTTGAAACTATTATTCGTATTCCTAAAAACTACTCTAACACAAGAGAGTGATGCTCCTCACAAATGCTCAGCCCAAGCATATCTCAAAAAATATTAAATTGCAATATGATAAAATGTTTCTGAAAGTGCATACTTCTGTGAGTGAATATGCCGTAGTGATACCAACTTTCAACTAAATACCACTTCCCTAGTTTCCATGCAAGCATTACTGCATACTGATAATTAAACCCTGTCTACCCTGAAGTCTCCCTTACGAATCAGTAGCTATAGATAAATGACAATGAAGTAATTACAGTTTCAATGCTTATCTAAAATTAAAACAAACTTTTCAATTTCCCTACATGAATGCTTTTAAGGGTTTCTCAATTGATCTATTTCTTTCTACGTGATAAAATTGCTAATCCATTTGAGAAGGCTAATCTGATGAGGATGTTTAAATTCCACATTAGCAGACATTTTTTTAGGTCATACTAATACATATCACACCTCCTGATAGTTCAACCAGAGTATATTCATGAAGAGGATAAGGCTAGTGAGAGCACCTGAAACAACATCACGAGAGGAGTATTTGAACAAACTTAGGATGTTTGATCAGCCGTGATGGCTATCTTCAAATATTTGGAAGAGGGATTAAACTAGTTCTCAGTGGTCACAAGAGGCAAAAGAGAGAAACAGATTTCATGTCAGGGCAAGGAAGCTTCTTCAAGAGTGAGGCTTATCAAGGACGAATGAGCTGAATTGGGAAG